TGAGGGTTCAAAGAGCCCCCTGAAATAGTGAATTGTGTGCATAATTTGCATGTAAGTGATTCTAGGCATTTTTCTGAGAAGAGAGTTTGGAATTTTCCAATTCTCAAAGCAGCTCAGAAAGGACTAAGAATCACTGTGTCTTACCTGCATTTCACTGTGATCCTTCTGGTGTATGGTACAAATTCAGGTCATAAATTATGGGTTGACGGGTTTCATCTCCTAAGGATAAGTATGTTTACTTTGGTTTCTGGAAAGAACCTCAAAAGCTAACAAGTTCATTCACCTGCCTTCAGGCAAAATGCTTCCAAAATTATCTGAGTCAGATGAAAAGGAAAAGTCTGTTTATATTTCCCTCTGGGAATGAAATTCCAGCTGCGCCCTCGGTAACCTATTACATTTTTTAACCACCACTGTAAAATGTATCTTTGGCCCTCAATAGCATATTACTTTTCCCCACTTTGTACACAGCTGTAAACGTGTTAATCTTTTCCAGAGGAGACATACTGCAAAGGTCTTGTTGCAGGCCATTCTCAAACCTAAGGACTCCGGGGATATGTGTGCGGGTACATATCTCACAGTTACTGCTCACACACGTCAGGCAGACATCAGCCAATACATTAGAGCCCAAGTATGAGCCAGTTACTAATAACATGAGCACAGAGTCGCAGGAAGCTAGAAAACCCTCGGATAACACACTGCAGGGAGGGGCTCTGCACTGTCGGTCACAAGTGTGGGTGTGATGGCATCTGGTAGGGATGTGACCTCAGCAACCTTCACCCGCCTGGTCTGTGGTCAGCCTTGTCACTCTCCCCAGTGGGTACAGTGCACTCCAGGCTTCCCACATGCACCCCCTTACCTGTCTCTTGCACATGTCTGTGGCCCCCTCTGTGCAAACACTGGACACCCCAAATCCCCCACTAGCAGCGCACCTGCTTCCCTCTGAGAAGCTGCCTACTGGCTGGGATCCAGCTGTACCCTGAAGGGTCACTTCCTGCATGTCCAGAGACATGGCCCGCTCTGGCCTGAGCACCCCAGCGAATGGCTCCACGGCCTGTGGCTGCAGCAGGCCTTCTCCAGTGAGGTCTGGCCTGTACCCTGGGGTGGGGCCCCTGTCAAGTTTATCCTTCCGTGGGCACTCTCCCTGAGCTAACGGTTTCCCAGAGAGTCCCTTTAACATCTCACAGTTACTCTCCTGGCATAGCTTACTCATTCTCTGTATTAAAATCCTCCTGTTTACATCGCTGTGTGGTCTCTGTCTCCTGATGGGACCCAGGCTGACAGTCACGATGTGTTAGTCTTGGATCGTACTCACAGGGAGTATCTGCTAACAGTGCATCTTCCATTGTTTGTAATTTTCCTTCTAGTTTAATTGTATTACAGTTAAAGAATTCCTATGCTTTGGAATTTATTGACATTCTTATAACATAACGTATAGCTAACTTTTTAAAAATGCTGCCAGAAAACTGAACAGAAGGTGCAGTCTCTATTTGCAGGGTACAGAGGTGGATAAAATTCTATTAGATAGTCTTAGTCAAGTTTTATATTTCTATTAGAGGTGGATATGTTTTCTATTAGATCAATCTTATTCATGTTTTCGTATCTTTTATAGAGGAGTCAACCAATGTTTTATATTAAAAGCCAGACAGTAAATAACTAGGCTTATGGGCTTTAAGGATTCTGCTGTAACTCAACTCCACCACTGAGGTGCAAAAGCAGCCACAGGCGATGTGTAAACAAATTGTCCCTGTGGCTGTATTCAATAAAACTTTATTTACAAAAGCAGGCAGTGGGCCAGAGTTGGTCCACAGGCCTTAGTCTGTCGACTCCTGATCTACATTATTATTTTTATCCACGTGGCTGGTCAGGCAAGGAGGAAGATGTGTCGCATCTCAATACTACTGTGTTGTTGCTGCTGCTGATTTCTCCCTGCATGCATCCTGCCCTTCTGATTACGTTGATCTGTGCCTGTGGACTTTCTTCCTTACCACTGTGGCATCCTTCTCTTTGTCCTGTTAAAGGTTTTCTGTGTGTGTGTGTGTGTGTGTGTGTGCGCGCGCGCTCGCACGCATTAAATCTTATATTCAATACAGAAAGACATTTAGAAAGAAAATATAACATAAGACAATGAAATTAAGACCAAAGATACGTTTAACAAAAGAGCAAACAAATCTCAGAATGTGTAAACATCAAAACTTTCACAAACATGAGTGTGAAATAGAGTCCTAGAAATTTATCTATAATGAATTCTCCATCTGACTTCTTTAAACTATTTTCAATCTTATTTGCTATAAATACGATTACCATCCTACATAATATATTGTATCTATCTGTACTAGTATACGCACACATGCCGTTTTGAGTCTTTTATACAAGAGCACGTGGTTGTGTTAGTCCCTTCTCTCCGGTCCATGGAACCTCCCGTTTCCTGCCCTCACGAGAGCTGGCTGCCAGGGTCCAGCCCTTGGGCTGGAGCTGGAGCAGTTGGTTCCTGCTGCTATTTTCCCGTAACTTCATGCCAAGCTCGACACCAGAGATCCTCCCGCTCTGTCTGGGACACAGCCAGTCCCCTGAGGTTCAGGCTGTTCCCCCATGTCGTTGTGAGCCCACTGCCTCTCTGTGACCCTCTATTCCACGTGCGTTATTATTTAATACTAGAGGCCCGGTGCACAAAAATTTGAGTGGGGGGGGGGTGGTCCCTCAGCCCGGCCTATGCCCTCTTGCAGTGTGGGACCCCTCGGAGGATCCCTCGGAGGATGTCCACCCCAGTGGGGACCCTCACCCCATGGAGGTTTGGCCAGCCTGGGTGAGGGGCTAATGGCTGTTTTCAGGCTGGCCAAGCCCCCTGGCGACGTAAGCTCCCAGCCTCTCCTTTTTTTCTTTTTTTTTTATTCTGGGATTTATTTACCTTCTATAATTGAAACTTTGTTGCCTTTAGCGGAGGCCTGCAGAAAGCTTGGCTTCCTCCATCGCCAGGGGCAACCCACTCCTGCTTGTTCCAGCTCCGTGGCCACAGCTGGCTGAAAGCAGGTATCTGGGGTTTGTTTATCTTCTATAATTGAAACTTTGTTGCTTTCAGTGAAGCTCAGAGCTGGCCATGGCAGGCGGGGAAGCTTGGCTTCCTCCATCACTGGAGCAAGCAAGCCTCCTGCTCGCTCCAGCTCCGTGGCTGCCGGCCGCCATCTTGGTTTGGTTAATTTGCATATAGTCGCTCTGATTGGCCAGTGGGTGTGGCTTAAGGCATAGTGAAAGTACGGTCCATTTGCATGTTTGTCTTTTATTAGTGTAGATAAGCCAGCACTGACTGGTTCCCCCTTTTTTCTTTCTCGGTTAAACCAAACCTTTATTTAATGAATGCAATTAAGCCCATAGAATTAGTCCTCCGAACTGCACTCGCCTTCCTTCAAGCCAGAGGGCAGGAAAGGGAAACCTTCGCAGCCTTGGAGAACTGAAGGGTGAGGCCACAAATGATTCGTTCCCTTGGTCACCTGCACCCCTAGTCCTTGGATCCCCAAATCTGGAGAGGTTTTCAGGGGGATTTGTGGAATACCATCCGCCGGCCCTCTGACTGACTGCTCTGGCCGGTGGAGGGGAGGGGGCGGGTGGCCACGTGTCTATGTGGTGGGTCCTATGAGTTGGCCCAAACTCCAAGGTTCTGTTGGGCTCTTTTCCTGTATTCCGTGGTCTTCTGTAGCCTCGCCTATTTTTATCTAATTCCACTTATCTCATCCTAATTCTGCAGAATTGGGGGACATGCTCCCCTTCTTTGTTTCTGGGGAGCCCTGCATGCCAAGCACAACCCTAAAAACTGTTTTGAAAGAGAACTGATGCCCGTAACAAAATTTTTTCCCTTCCCAGAATTCATTTCCTGCATTTTTTTTAAACCTCACATTCACTAAGAAGGATCTGAGATTCTGCTTTCCTTAAACATCTAAGCCACCTGGTTTTAAATAAAGTAGAAATGTAGTCATTCCAAGCCAAATGAGCCTCTGAAATTTCTCCTGGCTCTAGTTTTGAAAGGAATTAAAATAGCATGAAGACTCCAGACATCATGAAATTCAAATAGCATTACTTCAGCCCTGGCAGTGTTTGGAGAGACACACACGAACAGGTGAGCCCTTACCAGCGGGATGAGCAGGCTGACGAGGTCTGTCAGGGGTTTGCTGAGCAGCAGCAGGTCCTCCGCGGCCTGAGTGTCGCCCCCGGAGCCAGACTTCTGCGCCTTGAAGGAGGGAAGAGGAGGGGGTCTTGGAGATTAGTCGGCTTGGCCCTGGGCAGCTCCCCCCCGCCGGGCACATAAACACGGCTGCGGAGGTATTCCCCCTCGGCCCCCTGAACAGAAGGTGCGCACGTGACAACGGGTGCACCATGGCCACCGCCACCAGCTCGGGCCGCAGAGGCAGACCGGGTGGTCCACAGAGAAAGCGCCAACAAGGGCTGTCCCTGGGGAAGTGATGTCCACCGGCTGCAGTGGACGCCAGCCTGAAGGAGGGGCTCCTGTCCCCGTTGTTCGGGTGAGGAGACTGACGCGCAGAGAAGTAAAGCAGTTCGTGTGAACTCCCACATACCGTGGGGACAAAGCCGGAGGATGAGCGAGGCTCTACGACTCCACATCTCTCGTGCCTCTGCCCGGGCATGTTCTGCACATTAGACAATGCACACCTAACGCATCCTGCCGTATTTCCTTCTCCGCAGGCACACCCCCCCACAAGTGACACCTAGAATACGTGTCCAACAGAATACCGCATGCACAGTCTTCAGAGAAGGTCTAGAAAGCATAGGCTTCAACTGAAATTAAAATCAGAGATGGGAAGCGAGTGACTTTCATTCTAAGTGTGCCTCCTTTTAGGAGTTCTACAGAACTGTCTAATTCCAGGGATTTCGAACACAGACAGGCATAATTTCATCCTGGAAAAGGCACTGATTAGTAATTTTGTTTGCTATAGAATACACATATTTCATTCAATACTTCCTCTGTGTTTTTTTATTTCGCTCGGAAGGAACAAAACTGCTTTTGGGTGGTGACCTTTGCCAGACCAGGCTGCAGGCTGCCCCACCTGAGGGCATGAGCCTGGACTCCTGGACCCTTCTCCCAAATGCCACGTTTCCTTCTGCTCCTCAGGCCGATGGACAGAATGTGAGCTGCCCGCTTTCTTTGGTTCAGAAGAATTTTAAAATCAGACGCCTGCCTTTTAACCACTTGCACCGTAAGGGGAACAGTGCTAGAATTCCGTTCCAGAGAACGAGAGGCAGCACTATCCCAGGGTCGGGACCTCTCTGAATTGTGGCTGTTACTTCCACCTTCTGAAACGCTACTGGAGACAGAACATCGGCCTCTTCACCTTAACCAGCCCAGGGTCTTGACCCACCTGGTTGTTACACTCTGGGCAAGAGAGGACGGTCCACTGAGCTGGGTGGTAGCAGCAGGGTTTGAAAGAAGTGGCTGGATAGGTTAGGTATTTAAGGTGAAAGTCTCCATTTATTTTGTGACAGGTCAGATGTGGAACAAGAAAAAGGAGGAAATGTTAAGGATGACGCCCAGGTCTGGAGCTGGCACAGCAGGACGAGGATGGCGGGACTTGCTGGCAGGAGGTTCATGTAAGGCAGGACCAATTCTGCATCACAAGGCAGGCAGGGGTAGGGGCTGAACTCCTAAGGGAGATTCTGACACCTGCCTCCCTCCACTCCCTACTTTCCTGGGACACATTCCTGCATCATGTCCCTCTCCTCCCTGAAAAGTGCTTCATAAGTCTAAGCGATACTGTCATTTTAAACACTGTCAGTCCTCAATCACCGGATTCCTCCACTTCAGAGATTTCCTGGGACACATTCCTGCATCATGTCCCTCTCCTCCTTGAAAAAGAAAAGTGCTTCATTAGTCTAGCGCTACTGTCATTTTAAACACTGGCAGTCCTCAATCCCCCGATTCCTCCACTTCAGAGACGGTCCCGTTAGCCCAGCGGTTCTCAACCTGTGGGTCTCAACCTGGCGGTCGAACGACCCTCTCACAGGGGTCGCCTAAGACCATCCTGCATATCAGATATTTACATTACGATTCATAACAGTAGCAACATTACAGTTATGAAGTAGCAACGAAAATAACTTTATGGTTGGGTCACAACATGAGGAACTGTATTTAAAGGGCCAGAAGGTTGAGAACCGCTGCGTTAGACGTTTAGGAATGCGGGAGACCCTCCGGTGGGGAGCGTGTGTATGATGGGAGAGGTGGCCGGTGGCTCGGACAGCACAGACGGCTCAGTGTTCCAGGAGACGGTGTCTTTGGTGCACACTGTTTCTCTTCCCAGCCCTTTCCCCTCACTCGGTCTCAAGGACTCCCCTCTCTCAGACTGACGCCAGGTGCCCTGCAGATCAAAGTCGGGAGTGAAGCCAAAAGCAATACATGGCAGATGATATAGCAGAGGATTTAGAAAGACGACAGCAGTAAAGTATGCAGTGGTGTTGAAGAAAATGAGAAAATTAAAAACAGTGATCTACTGGTACACTAGCAAAGAAAGAAAGAATTAGAAAATAATTCTATTAAGGCGTTTTCTTTTAAACAACCTTGACTATCAACCTAATAGTCACTTCTAATAAGAGATTTCTGTTGCTCTGGAATTTCTGAACTTCTGATTCCTTAAAAAAATTTTTTTTAAAATATGTTTTTATTGATTTTAGAGAGAGGAAGGGAGAAGGAGAGAAAGAAACATCAATGATGAGAGAGAATCATTGACTGGCTGCCTCCTGCATGCTCTCCTCCTTGGGGATTGAGCCCCAAAACGGGCATGTGCCCTGACGGGGAATTGAACCACCTCCTGGTTCATGAGTTGATGCTCAACCACTGGGCCACACTGGCTGGGCCTGATCCCTTTTATATGTACAATCTACAAAACATTTCTTTCACAGATTGATATCATCAACGTATCTATGAACATAACTAGCAACCACATCCTGAAGATTTACATAAAACTCCTATAGACACTGAAATAAGAACAGCTATTCTCTGAAGAGACACGAGAGGAAAAGCTAAGAGAAACCTTAACTCAGGATTCCACAAGTACTTAACAATTCATTCAGAAAGATTCCAGATGAGCAAAGAAAATAACTAAGTAATTCCGAGGCCATTTTCACCCACTGGCTTTACAAGTGTGCGGTAAACACTAACGGCCATGTTTGTCGAGGAGATCTTGGCATGACTTATCAACCACACTAGATAAGCTAAACACTCGAGCAGCTTCGCTGGAGGTAAAAGTTACCAGTTATCACAATGATGAGTAACAGAGCCTAAACCAGGCTCGCGGGATTCATTCTTGGCTCTGCTACGCTGGCTCCTGGCGAGGTATGAAAACAGTTTGGTCTCCCCGCTAGCTTCTACATCTACTCAAGCCAACAGGCTATCACTCGTCATACGCCTCTTGCAATTCTACCAGGATTCGGAGTGTAACAGTGGATTCATATCAGCTGTGCGCTTTCATGCGACCTAAGTATCAGCTGACTCAGTCAGAGAGAGAGCAGTACATGAAACAGGCATGTGGAGGCACCTAACATGGGAAGTACTTAACAAACCCATGTCCCCTTCCTTCGTAGAGCACAGTACAGTTTGGGGCACATGGACTGAATACACTTCTAAGTCTCAAATCCACCTGCAATTCCGTGTTACTGGTCATAAGGGAGAGCAAGTGCTTGTTTACATGTTGCGTTATGGATGTGTGTACATGTGTATATAAACGTGTGTGTATGAATGGATGCATGGGCCTAAAATCTCGACCCACTGCTCCTGGCAAGCTGACGTTTCCCCCTGGGGCGGCTGGGCCCCATCCGTGGGCAGGAAAGGCTGCACACTGGTTGGCCAGCCCCAGGTGCCCGCAGGGCTACTGGTCTCAGCCAGGAACGGTTCCCCGATTAGAGGTCCTCAAGTCTCTGCTGAGGCCCCTCCTGCTTTCCTTTCCGATTTTGTCATCACATGATCTGTTCTTGGCATTGGTCACCAAAGATGGCTTATTTGATAGTCTCTCTCTACAGGACATAAGTGCTTTCTGAAAAGTAAAGACACTTTAGAGGCAGATTAGCAAGAAGAGACTGACGGGGGTGTGGTGTGGTGCAGGGCTGTGCCAGACCTGGGCCGAGGCCCTTACCTGCAGGGCCAGCCGCACGACCCCAGACGTGTAGGTCAGCATGCCGTGCAGCACGTCCAGCAGGGAGCAGAGCAGCGCGGCTGCCGTCTCGTTGTTGTTTTTATTGTCCACGTCCAAGCACAGTGTGGCCGTTTCGGTGAACAGGTTACAGACATGATGGACCAGTCCTGAGGGCAAAAAGGAGAAGGGCAAAATAGTCATCATCATATAAAAATAATGTGTCCCATAAACCCAACAGAGCAGGTCTCCACGATGCATAAATGCTAAGCAGCCCTTCAGCTCTGCTGTGTACCAGGTACACGTGGGACAGTTTCGTAAACTGCAGGTTTCCAGGGCTCACCCCCAGAGAGGCTGCTCAGGGGCCTGGGATGGGGACTAGGAAGGTACGTGTTAAGCGAAACTACACTTTGGAAAACACATCCTACAGGGTCAGGCTTCGCTGGGGCGGAGGACTCCCCGCCATGGAGGGAAGCGTGCTGTGTGGGAACAGACTGTCCCAGGTTCTGCTCGAAGGTCCAGCTCTTCATGCTAAGGATCAGGAACCACCCAGGGCTCTACAAGTAACTGGGTCATTTCTAGAGGATAAAGCATGTTTTTTCTGCGGTATTCCAAAAAAATTAAAATGCGAGATTAACTGTGATTTAAAGAACTGGACATTGAGAAATGGCCAGCTTCTATCATTTTGTCCCTGCAAACCTCATATGAAGAGTTGGTCTTCGTTAACTTTTAGTTTGACGTAGTCTATCACAAATTCATTTTCACATCTTGGGGTGTGTTATTGCTTATATTTAACGATGACATTTCTATTGTTACTGTTACATAGAATTAAACTTGGAATTCACAAAACTGATTCAGATGTAAATGTGGCGAAAATACAACATGAACAATGTTATAAGCCTAAATGGTGAATAGGACTTAGGCACAGATAGTCTGAATGTTCTAGAAAAAGTGATCTTCCAATATAAATATTTCACACAAGCAGATGGTGGGGGGGAGGGGCAAGGTAAGGAAGTCTGACATGTACTATAAACTGGATGCTACTGCACCTGCAATCCATTCCTCCCAGTTCTCATGAAGATCGATTAGCTGGAAACTCTGCCAGCAGAGGCATTCAAGCTCCGGTCTCTCTTCCAAACAGCGCACCCCCATGTCGTTTCCAGTAAATCGATCTGGTTTCCCCAGATGAGGGCAAAGCAGTTCTTAGACTACAAATGCAACTGATGTTGTCACTAAAGGCGGAGAAAAACCAAACTACACAGTTTACTCCTTGTGGCAAAAACTGGTGCCAGTCACAAAGCTGAAGATAAGTACCGCTGACGGAAAGCGGAATGAATTATTATTGCCCTGTTTATCACGCGGTAAGGTCCGACAGCTCATACCATCAGTGGCACGCGGTACAGAAAAGCAATTATTGCGACATGGGCATTACGGCCACAGGCCTTCCCCTCCCAGTGAGACCGCATCACTCATGGGCTAGGAGTCAGCCCCTGGCTTTCATGAGCTGCAGACAGGGTAGGAGGGCTGTACAACATAGTCTTTAAGAGAGAGAGATGTTTTCCTTTGGGGGGCCCATGAAGACTTGGTGACATGTTGTAGATGGTCCAAGGTACAGGGCAAGGGGCCGAGTACAGGTGAAGTCCAGCTATGGGATCAGTGGCTCTTCAGAAGGCGGAGGCAGAGCCTAGGTCCCCATGTCCCTGCTGCTTGATTCAGACTGAACAGCTGGGGAGCAACAGTGAACCTGACCTTCATTCCGTCTTCGAGGAAGGAGGGCAAGGCTGGGATGGCCTTCTCTCCCGCCAGCTACGGGAAAAGACGGGCACCCAAAGCCACGCCCTGACTGGGCACCCCGACGTCACCGGCTGTCAGGGAAGGTGCTTGGCAGATAGAAATGAAATAGGACGTAAAATATTTCTTCCCAACAGAGGCAATGCCAGCAAAGCCAGCACAGCATCTGGGAGAGCGCGGTAGTGTCTCCCTGTCCTCTGCTCAAATGCCAGCAAAACAACTTCTTAATACTCCGTCCTAACACCTCTAAGAGAAGCCAACATTCGTGAAGCCAAATAATCCAGCAACTATTTGCATTAATTATAACCAACTCAAAATAATACAAGAATTACTTTGTATTAATTACATGCAAATCTCTAAAGGAGTCACCCCCCCACCCCCAAGTTATTTTCAAGTGTTTAATGTTCTGGGAATATTAATGTGCGTGAGCTATTCCCAGCTCCAGCTCCAGTCACTGTGTCCTTATTATTACTTTTTCAAAATCTGTTGGGAGTAGCGAGATGATATGAGTACATTTTGAAATGCCAAGCTTTTGAAAATACTTCATATTTCTGTCATTAATGATTTGGACAGAACACTCTGAATCCCAAACAGAGGCTTCCTTCTAGATAAGTTGACGTCTACATCACACAAACACAGGGTGGCGCCCACTAGGACTCATTCACGTCAACTCAACAGACGGCGCGGCAGAGGAGGGGAGAAGAGATGTGGGAAGCTGTCCTTTCCCACGCTGATCAACACTTAACCAGCAAAACCAGAATCAGCCACAGCAGCTGAGTCTCAGGTCTGCTTTTTAAATAGAAAGACATGGAGGGTGACCGAGGCCGTGCTGGTCTCAGACACACTGACAGGGTACATGGAGGCGCCTGTGAACTGCGGGGTCCTGAGCCACAGCTTCTAAGCTCGCTCGACCTCTTCGGGCTGAAGGGTAATGAGCAGCCACCCACACAGAAACGGCCCCTGCAAAAACATGTCCAAACATCCCTGGGGTTTCAAGCCGATGAACCATCTCAGGGCAGGTCTTTGCCTCTGTTAGTCCAGCTCCACCATCAGAGGCCCTGGGAGTCTGCACGGTGCCCGATACGGGGCCAGCGCCTTTCCCTGGCCGCCTCCTCCTCCGGCACTGGCACTGCCAATTCTGCACTCCCTCTGCCTGGGAGCTCTGGCTTCCGCTCTTCATCTGCGCCTCCCCCTCACACGGGGCCCCAAGACCGCGAGCCCCTGGAGTTTGGCTGTGCCCACAAGGAGAGCGACGCTGCACAAGTTTCGCAGATGAGTATGACGAGCCAACTCACAGTTCTGTGCTCGGATAACATATAGGCTGGGGACTTCTCAAATATGACAGAGGCGAATGCTTTAATTAAACTTTTTCTTCCAAAAGCCGGAAGGGACTCTGTATTCAGAGCACTCATTCTGATTTACTTTCCTAAGAAAATTGTGTATATGGGAGTATCTTAAAAACAAACTCGTCCCAGCCCCCCTGAGCCCACACTGGTCCCTGGATCCTCCTAGGTTTAGCACTTAGATCCACAGAGAGAGGAGACCACCGTATTGAAATATTCCCAGCATGTGATTTATTTAAAAGACTTGACTCTCATACTAGATGGTTTGGCTCAGTGGCTAGAGTGTTGGCCTGCGGACTCAGGGGTACCGGGCTCGATTCTGGTCAATGGCACATGCCCAGGTTGCAGGCCTGGTCCCCAGTGGGGGTCATGCAAGAGGCAGCCGATCAAGGACTCTCTCTCTTCACTGATGTTTCTATCTCTCTCTCCCTCTCCCTTTCTCTCTGAAATCAATAAAAAATATATTTAATAAATAAATAAATAAATAAATAAAAGACTCGACTCTCATGGCTTTGGGGAATGTGATAGAATGAATAATGCACCTTCCTCAAAGATGTCCACATCCTAAATCCCTGGAAACGGTGAATATTACCTTACATGGAAAAAGGGACCTCGCAAATGTGATTACAGATCTGGAGAGGGGAGATTACCCATGGGGGCCAAATGCAATCACAAGGTTCCCGTAAGAGGGAGGCAGGAGATCAGAGTAGTAGGAGATGACAAAAACAAGAGGTTGGAACAACGAGAGGAAGGAGCCCCACCCAAAGAAGGCAGCGGCTCCTATAAGCTGTTCAGCTTGCATTTTCAAGGCAAGGAAGTGGAAGCCTTCAGAAAGAAGGAAGCCCTGCAACATCAGGACTGTAAGACAATACATGGTCGTGTGTGTTAAGCAAGTAAACTTGTGGCTTTGTTGCTATGACAACAAGAAACTAATACAAGGAGGGAACAAAAGTCATTCTCTTGGCTTGGTCTGCCCTCTTCACCAAGAAGTCAGCCACTGTTCCTACTGATGAGATGCACTTCTAAGTTTGCATCAGCAGGTGGACCAAGAACTCGGCAAACCCAATTGGACAGTATATTCACTGCATTGTTTTGTGGAAAAAGCTTGTTAACTGGCTCATTTTTGTTTAGCCAAAACTATGGAGGGACACTATATCATCCTATCTAATAAAAGAGTAATATGTAAATTAACCATCACTCCACGACAAGATGGCAGCGCCCATAGTGGCCAGGGTGGGACACTGGCGGCGGCGCCCTGGCAACACAAGCCCTGGCCGCACGGAGGGAGGGGAAGTGAGGGGAAGTGAGGGGAGGGGCCTCGGGCCGGAGACCAGGTCGAGGGACGCTGGCGTCGTTGCAGGCCAGACTGAGGGATGACCCCCCCCCACCCCACCCCCGCACAAATTTCGTGCACCAGGCCTCTAGTTCAACTTATATTAGAGAACGTTCATTGGACTGGGAGTCACACACCTGGTCTTAGTGTTAGTGTTAACAGAGGGCTGAGGCCCTCCATTTACAGAGCCTAATTCCCTCCTTAGAAAATGAGGAAGGAGCCAGTGTGATATCGAGGTTCCATTAGTTCTGATATTTTATAATTATGTCCAGAATGTGGCAAATGAAGGTTATTTATTCCAAACCTATTAAAACTCTTCATGGAAAACCATCTCTATACACTTTCAATAAAAATGCATAATAATAAACCATGACTATTATTTATAAATCAATACTCAAAAGCTAAAAATTAGGTATTAGAGTAAGTCAGTACAGAAAAACAGTAATGACAGCAAAAAAACAGTATGGCTCTTACCATGTGCCAGGTACTATTCTAAGTGCTCTAACAGGTATCTAACCAAAATCCCATTAACAACTCCATTTCACAGATGATGAAACTGAGGCTCAGAAAGGTCAGGTAACTTCCCCAAGGCCATCTGGCTCCACAGTCTACGCTAGTACCCACTATGCAAGATCGCTTTTCTGTAATTGAAATGACAAAAAAGGAAAATAAGACGATTAAGTTGAATGTGTAAATGCAAAAA